TTCACAATATTTGAGGACCACTGAATAATGTAGCAGGCCCTTGCTACACATATTGTTCCATGTGATCTAGATCAATGTGGTTGACAATATTTGATAAATGTAGCAAGCACTTGCTGCACATATTGTTCCATGTGATTTAGATCCATGTGATTCACACTATTTAAAGAGCACTAACCACTGAAGCAGCCCCCAGCTCTTGTTCCATGTGGATCCTGACCTATGACCCCCAGTGGCTCAGACAATAAATAAAGCAGGTTCCCAATTAACAAATGAGTGCAACCGCTGGTAATTATTCAACATTTGACAGTAGGGGACTCGGGGCATACCCCACCCATCGTCCCCCACCATCCACTCTTGGGTATGACGCTATCTGGTGCCCTATACAAATTCATCATACAATATTTTATTACAGTCAAAGTTTCTTTTAGACATTTTTCTCCGAAAGGGGGAGAGGTTTATTCTTTAGTCAATGTTACGTCATATTACATTGATGTTTTAATTGAAACACAATCTATGCATTAAACAATTTTACATATTATTTTTGTTTACATTTTATGATAACAAAATCATTGTATGCAATATTTTTTTTTAAGGAAAATCTTTAGAAAAAAAATGTTTCCGCATAAAGTCTTACCGGTTTTTCCAATAAGTAGAAAGTGAAAACGGAACAAGCCGACGAATTCCATGTGTATTGTTTGAACCGGAGATAAATAAGACAATAGAAGCGTATACCCCTGTCGGTCTGGGGCTATAGCGGGCAGATCTCGATCGATTTCTGTACGATCTAAGCGTTATTGGGTCTAGGAGAGCCGGGGTACGGTCACGTGATGGGGTCAGTGGATGCTTTCATGGGGGTTAAGGTTCAAAGGTTAATGCGGTGATGATGTTTTGGTTGGATGGTTTAATGAGGGTAATGTTCAAAGGTTAATTAACCATGTTGTCCTGTTTGCTGGGGGTTGGTTTAATAAGGATAAGGGTCAAAGGTTAATTGAACATGTTGTCCTATTTGCTAGTTGGTGTAATTTGGGTAAGGTTCAAAGGTTTATTGGGCATGTTGCGCCGTTTGCTGGTTGGTATAATTTAGGTAAGGTTCAAAGGTTAATTGGACATGTTGTCCTGTTTGCTAGTTGGTATTATTAGGGTAAGATTCAAAGGTTCATGTAACGATGCTGCTTTGGCTGGTTGGTTTAACGAGGGTAAGAATCAAAGGTTAATTTGACATGCACGTTGTCCTGTTTGCTGGTTGGCTGAATGAGGTTAAGGTTTAAAGGTTAATGAGACATGTCTCTCAGTCAGCTAGTTAGTTTAATGACGATATATATATATATATATATATATATATATATATATATATATATATATATATATGCATAAAACCTAACCACTCTATCAACGTAACTCTGCTACTGAGTGCTAATGCACAACCCTATCATGAGAATTGTTTTTGGTTCCCCTCTCTCAATCTGACATTTTTCTTGCCAACCGGAAATCAAAGAGAAACATGGCGTGTCTTTAACTGTTTTTGTAGAACTTGCCTAGCACCATATACAGGGACATAGAACCAAATTCTTAAAGTAGTTCTCGTCCATAACACATACATGATATCTGTTGGCTAATAAGCTGTTGATTGGCCATTCGTTTCTGTTTATTTTGATTGGACATTCTTTGTTTGATACGCCATTTGGTTTATTTATCAATAAGTAAGACTTCGTAGTTGGAGAATTCTAGACACTATGTGTCTCTCAAGAATTCTAAGGCAATAGTATAAAATGCTCCAATTTCCATTTGTATTGTTCCACCAAACAATATAGTTTAATGAACGATGTTTAATTCTAAACCTATCTACCTTATACCCCCCCCCCCTACCGATAATAAATAATATTACAAATATCACGTGATGAATAAAAAAGGACGGCGTGAGTACACATACAAACATATAAATAACACCGTATTCGCTTAAAACAGATTCAATCTAAATGGGGCGTAGCTGCATATTTCAAATTCTAAGGGGGTCACCCAATTTCCTCTTTATTCCCTCCGTCTAAAAATCCGTCCCTAGCCGCGCCTTTGATACATCAACAAAACTATCAGCTAATCGCCGAGTTATGAGTGTTTGACTCTTGCAGTAAACACGAACTTAATGGTCCCATTATGTCGTGTATTGACATTTAACAGCCATTGATTTTGTTACTACTTTGATGTCCGCTCGTTTGCATTGTTTCGTAAATCTTGCTGTAATCACCTATAATCGTAACATATTAGGGTAATTGTATTGCAGTTGTTACTATCACATACATTACTGAAATACGTTTAACAGATGAATTACTTTGTAACATTATATTGGTTGTGTTCACCTATTGATTAGTATAAGGCAGTTTGTCTATTAATTAGAATAAAAACATTATCTTTTAAAAATGTTTTATAGAAGAACCCAATAAACTAGCTTCTAGTTAATCCACCATGTTAACGTTTTTATTTTAAATCGAATTCTATTCTATAATCTTAAACCTGGAGCTCTTTTATAATTTGGTAATTACAACAGTTTCAAAATTTATCCCAAATGTGAACCTGGCTCCACTCGTACAAAAATATAAATGTCTGTGTACACTCCCTTCTCACTCCAAGGCTAACGAAGCAGATCAACTCTACACCATCTGCAGTTTAAAAAATAACCGGGTAAAAAAAAGTACCAGCACACCAAAAAAAAAAATGTTTCTCCAGGGGTCAGGTTTTTTTGTGACAGCACTAAAGCGATCAACTTGGAGGTTCTGACATGTCAGACACACCGGGTAGCACGGAGTGTAATGGCTAGTTTGGTGCACGCCGCACTCCACTGCACCGGTGCTAGAAGGTCAAGCGACGATTTGTGTGCGGAGTGGGATTGGTGGCCTCTCTCTGGGACCGGGATTTATTAGAAGACGGCGGTACTGCTGAGAGTTGGGGGGGGGGGGGGGTAAGGGGGGAGCTCACTGCCGTGTGGGGAGTCTAGGGTTGTGACAGTGTCACGTGGTTGAACGATGTACAATCCATGAGATCACGTCAAAACGAGTCTGTGGTATGTTAAACAAAGTAGTAAATATTTCATAATGTCACGTACAGTTTGATAACAAAGTGTTACCTAAGTATTACGAGCATGGCAGAACAAAGTATACGAGTCACGTGAATTGAATAAGAAGTGAAAAAGTCACGTCACTTATATAATAATGGTACTGTCAATATGGATTGTATAAAAGGGTGTTATAACACCACGTGAATAGAACAAGTACGTTTCATGTGAATGATATAATATAATGTGTCACGTGAACGGTATAACAGTGTGTCACGTGAGAGGTATTACAGAGTGTGTCACGTGAATGATATAACAGTGTTTCCCGTGAAAGGTATAAATAGTGTGTTACGTGAATGGTAGACAGAGTGTGTCGCCTGAAAGGTATAGCAGTGTTTCACTTGAACAGTATAACAGTGTAAACTACACTTTCTGAGATGTTATTCAATATGACACTAATGTAGTATGGGCTCTGTAAGAAACTGAAAGAACAGAGTTCTGACAAGAGCCCATTATGACTCTAATGTAGCATGGGCTCTGTAAGAAACTGAAAGAACAGAATTCTGACAAGAGCCCATTATGACTGTCATGTGTAGACAATACAGGTCTATTCTGGCACCCACCCACCGGGCAGGCAAAAGGTCAAGCTGACATCTTTACAGTGGTCAGTTCTACAGCCTTAAGCGTGTCTGGCACTGTAAATGGGAAGGATAACATGACTGTGGAGGGGAGATGGAGGGGGTACGTCTGGCTGTGTCACACAATTCACGTGATTATATTTTATAATAACTCAGAGACTCGTGTTTCTATGCGAGTGTTACTAAACTAAGGTAACTGATAGTTTTATCACAGCCATTGTCAGCATTTATTTCATCTTGCATGTAGCAATATGGCTCAACAAAACAAAAGGCAATTACAAATTTAAAAGCTAAATAGATAGTTCTAATTTGTTTGATTACTGTAATGTAGTTGTCGTGCTTCTATTTTTGTAGTATTCAAAGGGAATAAACGTTAATGTAAAAAAAAAAAAACAATTGAAGTGCTTACGGTTGGAGATTTATTGGTTTGGTACTACCAAACCCCCTCCCCTCCCAAAACAAAACAACAAATAAATTATTCTAATTAACGTTTCTTTAAACAAGTCATTTAGACCGTAAAAGATATCCAATTTATCAGCTTAAAACAAAATATTTATGTTGTAGCATTTTTATTACATATATTTTTCTCTTTTTGTTAGAAATAATTTTTAAAATAAAAAAAAGCTAATTACCAGAAAAAAAAAAACAAGAAAAAATAAATAAAATAAAAACAGCATCATCTATTTTTATCTTTACAGAAAGTTTTTCCCTCTCGCGAAAGACAGTTTATCTGTTTATTTGATGACCCGCCGCAAGATGGCGCAAGCTCCAACAGACGGCTTTGGTTAGTTCTCGCGCCTAAATTTAATTAAAAAAAAAATGCCATTACGACTACGACCTTCCAATGGGCAGATGAGGTAGAGACAAGTCAGGGACCCATCAGAGCCGGGTGGACTCACTGACGTTATATAATCGGACGTCCGAGATCCGAACGACACCAAATGCTCTACCATTTGACCACTCCGTTTCCATCACTTGTAGTGAATGGTGAAAACAATTCTTAGATGCTTAATATGTGAAACCATACAATTCGGGTTTGTTGATAGGTGCGACTTGAAAAAATACTTCAACTCAAATAGTGTAAAATGTTCGAATATATGAGATAGCAAATTGAAGTTAGTTAAACAAAGTTTTAAAACCCAATATAACTAATCGGTACATAGTAAAAAAAAGGCAATAGGAGTTTCGTTATTTAGATACTAGACATCCTCTAACCCTCCCACCTACAGTATATAAATTTATCCTCAATGGTTGTACACTATAATTTGCTGTCACAGCATAGGACATTGCCAACATGAAAGAGGACAGATACTTACCATCTGCCCGCTGTCCTCAGAGAGAGGACTGTCCGGTGGATCGAGGTCATCCTGGGTCATCTTGCTGTATCCAGACGTCTTCCTGGGATTGCTGGAGCAGACGCTGGGTCGGGGGTTCTCCTGTCTCACGTCCCCCGAGCCTTGGGCTCTCAGGGTGGTGGAGGCGATACTCGGGCGGGAGCTCGCTGCCCGGGGGTCACCGTGTGGGCTGGGAAGACTTCGTGTGGTTGGCGTTTGGTCAACCTTGGTGTCTACCGTCAAGGCCGGGTGTGCAGGTGAGGCAGGGCTTGGTTCGTGTTTACCCCGAGACGTGGGCGTGTCTTCGGCTTTGGACGAGGCACTGTCGCTAGAACGGAAGTGGTTGGGGGAGTTTTCTACAATTTTCTGGTAAGATGGCGGCGTGGGCGGTGAAGGTGCTGTCATGTTCATGGTTTTAGTCAATGAACTAGGAAGAGAATTGATGAATTTCGCTGCGGCGGCTGAGAAGATAGCGGCTGCACTTTCTTTTCCAGTTAAGGATATTGCATTCGGATCTTTGTCTGGGAGAATTCCTTGTTTTAACTTCCGCCACCTATCGCTGACTGATAGTGGTGCAGACGTGTCCTCTTGTGACTTAAAATCTCTGTTCCCCCTAGAGAGCAGAGACGAAATGCTCCCCGTGATGTAGGATCTAGAGGACGGGTTGCAGGCTCGTAACGTGGACGACGAGCTCGCCCACTCAGGGTTGTCTGCCTTGGACAGGGACTTTGTGGACTCGTTCGCAGATTTGGTTACACTCAACGAGGACAGACTGCAAGTGTCGGAGACCAGATTTTTGTTAGACAGTCTTTTTTCATCGTTAGACTGGTCGCTTTTCATGCGGGTTAATGTGGCGTCTTTTTTCAGCAGCCCCTCGTTGATGTTAGTTTTACTTGATGAAACCTCGACACACGTCTCGTCAAAGCTGGAGTCACCCTTCCCACTGGACGAAAGAGATTGTTCTTTTTTAAGGGTGTTTCCTCCAGGCACGTCCAGGCTGTTACTGGTCCCCATCTTAGACTGTCGTCTGCTTCTAGAATCGTCAGCGCGGGGCCTAGCCACGTCGTCCTCCGCATAGCGAGATGGTGATGCGTCGGAGGAGAACCGCGACTGGGAATCGTCTCGACGTGGGGATGACGACGATGACGCGAATCCCGTGTCGTGGTTGGAGCGGGAGGACGATGATCGTCTGCTGAGGCTGATGTCGTGCCTGCTCTGTGAAGCCACGGCGCCATCCCGGTCATCGTGGGGCGAGGTAGATCTCTGTCGAGACGGCCCTGAACTTCCATGTCGCCGTCCGTTTTCAGGAGCTGACCGATCTGACCCCTCACGTATATGTACAGCCGAACCGTTGCGTATGGGGTAGTCATTGTGTTGTTGAGGCTTCTGTTGGCGTTGGCTTTCCGGACTACGCATTGATTTTTGTTGACTTTGCGCATCCGGATTTTGCCGCGATCGTTGCTGACTTTGAACATCCGGCATTGGACGCGATATCTGCTGACTTTGAACATCCACAATCGGACGAGACTTTTGCTGGGGTTGACCTTCCAGGTTAGACGAGGGCTTGACACTTTCTTTAGAGCTGACCTTCTTGTTATGATACGAGTTCATATACGACTCGTCATTGGAGCAGCTGCCCCGTCTACTTCTGCCATCGATTGGGTCTTTTTCATGCCTAGACAGGTTACTCGAGCTCCCGTTGGTCCTGACGCTGGAAGATATGGACGTGCCGCTTTCCTCATCCTGCAACAAGCTGTGTCTTGAAGAAGAGCGTCTGTGTGTCGTGACGCCTCTGCTTGAGCCAGTCTCTCCCCTGACATTAGAGTGACTCCTGCTTCTTGTGTTGTCTCCCCGCGACTCCCTACGTTGTTCTCTGTCTACAGATGGCGCCCTATGCCGGTCCCCGTGGCCTTCTCTATAATCATAATCCGACCTCGATGTCCTCCTCTCGCGGTGTGTGCTCCCATAGCTCTGGTGCCTCGCCTCCGTCTGGTCAGCCATCATTTCCTCCTTGTCCTGGGGGTCGACACTCCTACGCCGATCTCGCGACTCGTAACTCTTTTCACTTCTCCTCGGCAACGTCCCGTTCCCTGGGTCTCTGAAGTCTTCCTCGTAGTCTATCGACCGCGAGCGTCTGTGAGCATGCGCAGATCTTGTTTTTGAGTCCCTCAGGGAATGGTAATACATGTCATTGTCCGTGGTGCTCATATGATGGTGTTCTCGAGTCGGCCCATTGTTTGCCGGCTCCCCCTTTCGGTATAAATCATTATTAATGGTCTCCCCTTTCCTGGCCGACCCGCCGTTGTAGGGATCTCTTTTACGAGATGAAACTTCATTAGCGGGATCCCCTCTTCGAGATGGTCCTTCATTGATGGGATCCCCTCTTCGCGTTGACGTTTCATTAGTGAGATCCACTCTACGAGACGATGAATTCAATATAGGATCACCTTTACGAGATGACCCATCAATTATGGGATCTCCTCTACGAGACGACCCGTCTTTAATTGGATCACCTCTACGAGATGACCCATCACTAATGGGATCTTTACGAGATGACCCGTCTTTAATTGGTTCCACTCTACGAGATGACCCTTCATTAGGGGGATCCCCTCTACGAGTCGACGCGTCATTACTGGGATCCCTTCTACGAAATGCACCAACAATCACCGGTTCCTCTCTTCTATCAGACAACCCGTTGATAGGATCCCCCCGCCTAGAGGGGGCGCCACTCGACGGCTCGACTCTTCTGGACGATTCACTCCGGTGGCTGGCGTCACGTCTCGTCACGCCGTCCTCTGTGACGTGTTTCCTGCTCAAGGTGGGTGACCCGCCCACGTGATCAAGAGCGTGCTCGCCGGATCTGACCAAGTCTGAGCCGTCCTCATAGTGCCTCGAGGGTCTGCGGTGGATGGACTCACTGCTGGAAGCGCTAGCATGAGACCGGTTGCCGGACGCACTGTCATGTGACCGGTTGCCGGACGCACTGTCATGTGACCGGTTGCCGGATGTACTGGTGTGTGGACGGCTGCCGGAAGCACTAGCGTGGGGTCGGGTACTGGATGCACTGGCGTGAGGTCGATTGGCGTGCTCGTAGTCTGGGTTGTCCTGCCTGGCGTAGGAGTTCTCTCCCCTGGCGTAGGAGTTATCTCCCCTGGTGTAGGAGTTCTCTCCCCTGGTGTAGGAGTTCTCTCCCCTGGTGTAGGAGTTCTCTCCCCTTGAAGCAGACCTCGGCCTGCTCCTGGAGGAGGAGTGCGATGACGCGGTGTCAGCATCCGACCGCGCGTGCTTGTCCACGTGATTTTTAATATGGTTTTCGCCACGTGGTAATGACGTCATTATGTCTATCATCACGTCTGTTTATCCCAGGAGTTCTCGTTCATCTGGAAAACATGAAACAATTTAATTTTTAGAGCATCACGTCATAACAAAATACCTTAAAGTATTTATATTAAAAGTATTGCAATTGTGATCACCAAAAAGAAATATAACATTTTTACCCAAAATTGCACACGAGGAGCCATTTCGTGGAAATATATTATAAATTATAATCAATTCGGCGTAGACGGTAGTTTTGGGATAAATAAATCCCCATTTCTCACTAGCACATTTCTTTTGGCACGGGTCGTGGTCCGTCTATGGGACTGTGCCAACATAGCCTTATTATGTACCCAACACGAGAAAATGTAAAACATAGACGTTAAATAATTTCAACCCAGTGGTGGGTGTGTGGATAGATGGGTGAATGAAGAGGTGTGGGTATTATAGCTGTTTGTTTTTATTATCACAAACTCTATTCACTACAGTCCTCGTATGCTACCTCAGTCATCACAGTTATAGAAGTCACAAGTATAGAAGTCACAACTATAGAAGTCACAATGTCATAAGCCCCACTATAACTCTAACCTGTCGCTTCGTCATAAGCATAGTCTAACCGTAAACAGGAGATAATTACCAAACCATACTCTAACCCTAAGCAGACCACATATCATAAGCCCACTTTAACCATAACTAGCCCATATGTCGTGATGCTCACTCTAACCCTAACATTTCTAAATGTCGTACACAATTCTAACCTGTAAAAAGGACTATATACTACATAAATCCTAAAATTACCATATGCCACACACTATATAAACCCTCACCATGCCATCATATCCTACATCACATGAACCCTCACATTACCATATAACATACGACACATAAACCCTTACATTACCATATAACATACGACACATAAACCCTCATATTACTATATCCCATACATCACATGAACCCTCACATATGCCATACACCATATGAACCATGACTACGCCAAATCTCCTACGTTAAATTAAAAGTTTCCAGTTAGTTCTGGACCATCCCTGATCCTAAAAATAACCGTTACATAATCCCCCAGTCTGCAACATTCAAACATTTCTAGAAGTTTCCCAACACATCACAGTTGACAGTGGCCAGGAATTGTTCTGTGTCACCATTGATTTGATCAATGTCTCACCACTTTCTATCACCATTTCGTCTATGTCACCAGGATTTAGTCAATGTCTCACCACTTTCTATCACAAGCTCGCCTCAGTTTTAATTTTAGAACAAAATAATTCTTCCTGCAACCTTAATCCTAACCTAAAGCTTACCAGACGTGAATTGTAAGACGTGTATTGTACTCAGAGCGAAAAAACCCTCATATTCTCCTTTTATAGATATATAGGAGTTTTATATAATGATGCATATCTATGATATATTGCATGTCTGATAATGTACCTCTTTTATAAATTACCGCTATTCTATTCCAATAATAATGATCAAAAACACATTACTGGAATGCTGAATAAATGAGCAGCGTGTAGCTAAAAATAGCACCACACCACGCCACTCCTGCAGCGTGCAGATCCTGGTTGATGGAACAAAAGCCACGCATCTTTCTTAACTCGCTAAACCCATGTCTTAACTACAAGACCGGCAGCTTTAATATTTCGGTCAAGTAGAACTGAAAATGCCGCTATCATCTTCTAGTTTTCAAGTTAAGAAACATTTTTTCCTTTATTTCTTACTAGATTATTTCATACACATACAGTATGGTTGTTTTTAAAACGCCTGTTTAGTGCTAATGATGGGGGATACAGGGTGGCTACACTAGTAGTTTAACAGACATCTAACACACGTTTAAACGGATATTTTGTACTAATAATCATGGTTAGTTGTCTTCAATTCCAAGTCCATACATACATTCTTATATACCGTCATCAATCTATTTTTTTCTTAAATAAATTATAGTACAAACATTTTAGTGTTTACCAAAATAAATAAAAAATAAAACCAACCGAAAAAAGAAGAGCCAGTCTAATATAGATTTTAAAGCTGAATTTTGCACAGCTTAATGTTTGGTAGTCACACACGGAAAGAATAACCTCCCCTTGCGAGGGAGGCAACTCCTGCGGGTCTTTGATGAAAATTGAAAGCTAACACTAACACTGATCAGAGGTTTGATCAACGGTCGTGCATAGCTCTGGTAAACATAGAACTTTCAACCTCATTATCACACCAGTTTTTTTTCCAGCTATTTTTTTAGCCCTTAGATATATAAACGTGGTAAATATCATCTGAATAAATAACACTGGATTCCATTTTCCATAGGCCTACACTGCACCAGCGAGTTTTATTCCTTCGTTAAGGTCAA